CTCTTGGCGTCTACTGAACCGCATAATTTTCACTCTGCAGAAATTGGAGAAATGCCCATAAGCGATCTTCTGCCACCGATCCTCGTAGACGTACTACTCTATTTCGATGCGGAGTACCAGTTGCGAATGAGCAGGCAAGTTGGCGGAGTACGGTGCCGTTCGTAATTTCGGCCTGCGTTCAGCGTCTGTAGAAAACGATAGCGCAAATTCCGCATTTGCCAGCAGTAAAAATTAAAAAAAAAACCTTATTGGCTCCCGACGCATACCACGCGTTCAGGCAGTTAACCAAAGGCTAACCAAAACCCTTGTCCCTGGGTTTGTACCTTTTCAACAGCCACTTTAAGTATACGGTACCATATTTCGGTCACCGGTAACTTTTTTATGTCTTTCTCACTGGTCTGTAGTCATCGAAACAAAATTGAAAATGTTAGAATTTTAAATTTCTGAAGTTGTAAACTCAGAAGAGCGGTTCTTTTACCTTGCACGGTTGCACAAGGCCCAGTTCCTGTTCTTCCTTTTATGGAAGTTAGTTTGTGAATTCATGCTTCGAAATTCATGAGAGAAATTTTTACTGTGAAATTGTGATTACTATTTATTTCTGCTATTTTTGTTTATCCGAAAATGTTGACACCAGCCACCAGGTGACCGAAATATGAAACCGTTATCGTTATTATGGTGGTTTAATAGTCTCATTCTCATACAGACCTTTAATTGCGGTGTGCATTAAAATAAGTAATGAGAATGCATTAAATAGTGAGAATGCTGTTAGTGTTTTGCCGACAAGACTGCGGCAGACGAGCGTGATCAAGTCTCCGCATGTGACAAAAGATGGGGATGTTTTGCATTTAAGTGAAGCGACTCCGTGCTTTTCACCGCATGCATGAACGAAAACTTTCGCGCACGCTCAAGCATTTTGCTTTGCTTTAGGACAAGTATGGCCAGATGATTAGTATAATTATAGTAGCATGAAAACCGTTTGTGCGCGTAACTTCCGGTTCGGGATGTATGGCTGTAAGAAAATTCCATAAAGTTTCAACGCATTTACTGTTAGGTGTAATAAAAGTTTCATTAGGTACGATTCTTCGCACTTCGCACATAAATGCACATAAGTATTAGGATCGTTTTTTCACCGATTCAGAATTGAATTTTTTTTCCAGTTCTAAAAAAACTTTCAAAAACTTGAAAATTCATGGTCAAAAAGTGAAAAATGATTCGTCGTATAAATGATCTCTGTGCATAAGTGTGTTCAGGTGCAAAAATTTTAAGCAGAAACAATAGGTTGATAATGAAATCGTATTTTAAATAGATCCATAATCAGACTTTTGTTACACTTCAGTTGCATTTAACCTATTGGAACTTCCTTACCGTCATGAATCCCAACCGGATGTTGCGTGCACAAACGGTATGCACGTCAATGTAAATGAATCAGCTGTCTGTAAAGTGTCATAAAACACTGCAAAAAAACGTTTGGATATTTGGTCGTGCGCTAAAGAGAAACTTTTCATGCATGCACAGTACACGAATTTCATACCACATGCTCGGTCATTTCCCTTAACACATAAGTTCAAAGATGTCAAAATATGTTCAGGGTTTGCGCCCTATGGAGCCTGCTGCTTCGCCAGTACTCCAAGAACCGGGACATCATATTCGACCTCTGCGCCGCATGTGTTAAAAAGCACAATGATTTTTCGAAAAAAAACCCTGAGATCGACGGTTCTAACGTAAATCAGGAATTTGAACAATATCACACATACCAATTAGCAATCACACTGGATCGCGTAGTTAATGTGGGTACGCAAACATTGGCGCTGACGGAAGACGGCAGCCACTCTCACACTGACATCAGTCTCGCCACTAGAATGGCAACGACCGCAACCGTATTAGCTAGTAAAGACGTCCGTCTCTTGGTTATCGTTATAAAAAAACAGCCGATCAGGTTCCTTCCTGGCCGTTAGTCGAAATTCTGACAGTGGATCATGGGAATGCGACGGATTGTTTGGACTGATGACAGTGTGTGCGAAATTATTACTGGTCAATTTTGCGGCGATGCCGGTAATTATCGAATTCACTTGCAAGTTATTGCGCTACTACGGCTCTGGATCGCCTTTGCCCAGGTCGGAGAGAGCGCTGGTGCGCCGCGATATCATGGACAATGTTCATTTCCCCGTAACTATTCCGTATCTGTGCTTTTGCCCCGGGGAAACGGCTGCTGAACAGATACGCTTTCTCCTAGCCGCGGTCAACGACCAGTGTCCGACAGTCAGTGAGCGAGTCTGTGATAAGGTCGCAGCGATGCATGCGCGGTGGGTGCGAACTTTGGAATATCCGGATCAGTGGAACGGCATTCGTATTTTTCTGCAGCTGTACGTAGTGTCTGGAAGCCTTTCACCGATTCATAATTTCGGTTATTTTATAGAACTTGGATTTATTGCAACTGCAGTTTACAGAAGCTTTTCTCCAAACGAGTACCTTTTATTTCAATAAGACTAACTTCGCTGTACCTGAATGAGATTAACTGCGTTATAATTCTAGACAGGTATCTCTGCTTTTCAGTTCATCTGGATAATTTATTTCAGGCATTGTAATTACATTGATTATCAGGTTTAATTCCCTGCGCCCGGATGACCCACCACAGCGCTGGAGTACGATGGATCTTCGCCAACTGGACATCGCTGTCCTGTCGCGTGTTACCTTTGCGGCACTGGATGGATGCTATAACGACTGAAGCCGGCATTGGTTAATCAGTCGCAATATTCGACCTTGAAAATGACAGCTATAATGACGGCATTTGCAATTTACATGATTTTTGGTTGAGTTTGCCTGTAGAAGAATATGCATTGCTTTTGTACGTGATACATGTGTTTATACGAGATGCGAGGAAATTGTCATTACCTATTTACGTTTTCGCGCGACTGAGCCAACTTAAGCAAATAAGTATTATTAATACTCATTTAAAAACGGTTGGACTTGAGTTGTTTTTTGAAAGCTCCTAAGTTTCCGAAATTGTATTGTATTTGTATTGTATTCGTATTCTGAGTGTTGAACGTTATTGTATTCTGTGTGTTGGTCTGCCGAAGTTTGATATCAAGGAATTATTAAATTTGCGACCAACTTCGTGCAACCCAGCACAGTTTTACGTGTGTGTATTGTATTTAGCATTATTTAGTATGGGAAATGAATAATATAAACTAGGGTCACAGAGCTTTCTGGACTTCCGTTCAGTTCTGACCGGAACTTTTCTTATTTCTTGAGATTCTAGGGGCCTATCATGATTATTAAAGTAAAAAAATAGTAGCCACAGATGCAGGATCACAAGCAGATAAAAGACTATTTGCAGACACTTTTCTCAGTATCTCTACCTTCGCCTCGGTCTTTCAGTGTTAGCGAACAGCGGTGCACTTCCCTAGTTCCAAGACTTGTACGAGTAAGAGCACACTCTTTTATTGGACAACGTTCCTCAATGCACAGTTTTGCGATATTGTTGCTAGAATTCAAGGGTGTTCATAAACAGCCGCTCTTACAAATTCTTATCCATGGGGTACATGATACCGAATCGAATACCGTTACCACCGAATTTTTACCTGCCCCTCAAGAAAATCCTACCCCGTAATATGGCACCCTCTTCCATTCTGTTGCCAAATTATTACCACCTCCAAAAAATCGCAGCTGATGGCTGTTATAAAAATGAATGACAAATGAAGCAGAACTATCTAACAAATTGTCCATTTATCCTCAAATTCATAGGATATCTTATACTGTATATACCTATCTTAATAAACGTTTGTTTACATCAAAAACGGCACCGGAGTTTTTTTGCCACGAGTTTCCAACTGCATAAACCAGCCGCTTCACCAAAAGTATCAATCCCCAATTTTTTGAACGTTTGTTTTTTCTCTCGGAAACCTGAATAAGTTTATCACACAATGTTTTATTTATTCCTATAGCCCATACAACCTCTTAAAATTACCAAACTAATTTGACAAAGAAAATGTTTGTTTTATTTATTAATCGCTAACAAATTTATTAACAAAAGCATAAATCTTCGCCAGTCGCGGACACTTGCCGCCCTGTCGCAGTGATGTCCTGTTGCGCATAATCCTCATGAAAGGTTTTTTCTCCGTTCATAAAAACGCTAAGGCACAAAAATGAAACATTGGATCGGAGAGAACTTGAGTCGAGAAACAACAAAGAATTTTCTACTGACCCTGATATCCATAATGGTAGCTGCCTGCATATTAGGCACTTTATTAGATTAACTTATATCATTTACGAACGACAAGTGTATGCTTAGTTAAAACAGCAGGCGCAGGCGGTCTAGTTCGCTTCTCGTTCGAGCGTTGGCTTTTTTCCGCTTATCATATTGCAGAAGATTCAAAGTAAAAACTGGTTCTACCTCCAATCCACCCCACGTTTTCATGCGGGAAAGCCGACATACTGTAGATAAGCCCATAAAAGGAAGCCGACATAGTACATGAGCGTAAAGTACTGTACATAAAATACTGCATATAAAAAGCTTTAAAAAAGTACTGTATACTGCAGTGATACGAATTTAAATTATGGTGACCACTCCGTAGACTAGTTTACCGAATGAAATTAAGGTAATGCCCGAAAAGGCAGTGCATTAAATGAAAAGTAGCGTAAAAGGGCAACAAACGGAGTGAAATGTTGATGGTAGTTTACGGAGTAGCCACCATCTTAAGTTATTCTGGGCGACAGCGATTGCACAATAATTTATCTGTGCCTGACCGACGTGACAGAATGTCCCGTTTTCTTGAACATGGAGGGCCTTCGCTTCGCTTCGGTCGATTAAAAATGGAAACTTAGAAGGCAACCGTCGACATGTCGAGGCGTGAAGTGCGCGTAAGACATGGAAAACACTTGCACTAACAAGGAGATGCAGTTATTATATCTAAGTCTGGAAAACAAACAAATCCAGTATTTTGTCGATAAATGTTTTTGTTGATATCTTTTGCCGGCGACGGCAACAATCGTATAATAGGTTATGCGGCGTCAGATCTGGAAATGGCGGTGCCCGGTGCTTCCTTACGACTCAGTGCGTAGCTCATGGACGCTCTGGGTTTTGCATTGGGTAATGGCTTACACATTAGGACACTGTTGAACGCCTCCCGACATTCCCTATTCATCGCGTAAAACAGTACCTGCAACCGTATAATCTTAATTATTGCGACTGACATTTATAAAGGGCTATTCAGTAAGTCGAAACCAAACCCATTACCGGTGTTGATAAATATCCAGAATACAACAGACCGCGCAGCCACGGCAATGTCATAGTTTGCTGGAGCATCCATAACGGCAGCACCGATTTAAGCATCGGAAGCGTGGAAAAGCATACACAGTGCACGATCCAGTTGGCGAAGAGCATCTTGGCCAATTGGACGCGTTTCCGGTAGGCACCGCTCGCGGGCGGTAAGGCGGCTGCGTCTGCGGTAGTGCGATTAGCATGTCGCCGTGAGGCCGCTACCTGCCACAGCACGACGACGTGCATAACACCGGCCAGGGCCAACGGTAGGTGGACCCTCAATGTCGCCGCAAGATCGAACATCAAACTGCCTTGGCGGGCATAATTGCAGAGTGTCCAAGGAGGTTCCGCGACAAAGCCGTTTGTACGCAAGTAGAACGGCAGGTGAACTGCAATTCCCAAAATCCAAAATGCAAGGATTTGCGCCCGGAGAAATCGCTGGCGAGTGAAGCGAGGGTAGAGATGGGGATAGACGATGGCGATGAAGCGGTTGAACGACAGCGCGCAGAGACCCCATATTGCGGCCATCATATTGATCTCGTAAAAGAAGTAGAAGTGCCGGCAGAAGGTGTTGCTGGTGAAAATACCGTGGCGCGCCAATAGCAGCTGTAGGAGAAGGAGCGGCCAGTGCACACCGACCATCAGCATCTCTGCCAGGAATTGGTGGGCCAGCAGGAAACGGGGACCGGATAAGGAGAAACGTCGACGAAATGTCAGCGAGATGAGTAGAAGGTAGACCACAATAGTAAAGAGGCAGGCCAGACTGGATACCGTCACGTAGGTCGCAAAATGAGCATTGTCATGGACGACAGCGGAGTGGTTTGTGAATAAAGTGTAGTTCCGGCAGGACAGCGATGAGTTGGACATTCTTAAGGTGACAATGTCGGCAAGACGTTTACTACATTACTTCATAAGGACAGCAAGATCGGTCACATTGACACCTAATACGGGGGGTTAGCAAATACGGGCACTTCGGACATGAAAACATTTAAATTTGAAACATTCCCTTGACACGTGACAGCCGGAACAATGACGGAACTCTTTTTGAGAACATATATAATTAACATAGCTGATTCTTAGGCGAAACAGAAAGCGCCTTCTTCTTGTTACCAACAAAAAGAAAAATACCGAAAAGTCGGATAACGACTCGGATAGCAAATAGCAGATTGATAAAGGGTAAAGTATAACTCCACAGAATTAGGTCACTTTTCCACGTATGAACAAACTGCGCGTTAACAACCGCACGAACACGACGCAGAACGTCATGCGTAATCTTGGTTATGCTGGAAGTAAACCAATGACAAAAATTAAACTTGAAAGTCCAGTAAAATATTGGCAAACTGCGCGGTTTCCTGTGACAATTAATCGATAAACATGCTAATGCAGTATTCCATCACGCTGGGTGAATCTGATTAATACCATCAGGTTTAGGATACGGAGTGCACGTCGAATTTCAGTGCTGCAAGCCTGGGCTCCCGCTGGTCGGTGTATGTATAGATATGTAAGCGTATGCTGTTTTTCCGGTCGGATTATTTTCTGCACAAAATGGCTTTCGGGAAATGTGTACGATGCCGGGCGCCTGCTGTTAAAACAAGAAGCCTAGCGTGATTTGCATTGCACCACCCGCAGTGTTCTCCTCGTAGACTCGCAGCGCAGCCATCGCTGCTCCCCTGGTGTACTGGCAATGTGCCTTTCACTGCCTTTGTGATGCCAGCACGTTTGGTAACTCGAGATTTCTGCTTTTTATTTTATTGTTACGCATACGAGCACTGTCCAAGCAGGCTAGCACTATAAATGATTAAGGCATGACTGTTTTCGTGTGTGAATTAAACTGAAGGACCTCTGACCATGGGAAAAAAGAGCTATTTCTCTGGATGTCTCCTTGTAGGTCGCACTAATCGCCTTGTTTTCACAGCAGTCGCCCACCTTCGGACGTGCGTTACGGATGAATATTTGGCTTAATTGGTTATTGGGTCGGGCCAGCTTGTTATTAGTATGTGATCAAAGTTTAGTAAATTATTAATTCGCCTAACCTCTAGCGACCTTCAATGAGCCTTCAATGAGCCGACATTATTCACTTGTCAAGTGAATGTTGTCGTACCTTCAAGTGGTCAGGCATCCATTTCTTTGCTCCAGAACCGAACTATTATCTTCTGGCTTATTGTTATAGAATGTTACTGTCACCAATGTGCTGCCAGATTAAACAATATTATGGCGTACTTTCACTGTTTTGGATGGGATGCTGGTGCTTAGCGCGCTGTGTTATGCCGAAATTCTCTCAGTTGTTGTTGTCTCTTGGTTTTTCTCTCAGTTGTTTTTCTCTCGGTAAATCTATTCTACGTAGTAGTACTGAACTTGCTGATTGTGAATAATTTTTCATATTGTGCCATTTACTACGCGACTACGATGGCATTAATACATTAATATTTTGTTAGCCATGAAAAGCGCAATACGTACTACAATCTATTTTACCGTTAAGAAAATGTTTTCTATTCTAGCCCTATAAATTTCGTTTTAGATTCGATCGTTACAGTTTCATAACGGTGCGGTATGGAGTGCTTAAGTCGGGATGGTCAACTTATTGATAACATATCGTATCTCATTGCCGGATTGGATGAAGTTCTAACAAACTGTCTTGAAAATTTGTAAATCTAATTTTGTTGCGCCGGTGATGGTTCTTTGCCATAAAAAAATGACTGGCTGGTCGCTGTCCTCATGGATCTTACGAAATTGATTAACCAGTCCACCGTCAACTTCACAACGTCCATTTTGCGACCTACATGACAGTGTTCATTCCGGCTTGCCTGTTCACCATCGTCGTCTATCTCCTTCTCATCACGCTGACCTTCCGCCGGCGTTTCTCCCTGTCCGGTCCTCGTTTCCTGTTGGCCCACCAATTGCTGGCGGAGCTGCTGAAGGTCGTTGTCCACTGGCGGCTCCTTCTCCTACAGATGCTGTTGGCGTGTCAAGGAAGTTTCACCAGCAACAGTATCTGCCGGCATTTCTACCTCCTCTACGAGATCAACATGATGGCCGCAATATGGGGTCTCTGCGCTGGAATTATTCTTATTGATACAGATAAATTCGCATAAGTCATCCTGCTCTTGTCTTAAAAGGTTTAGTAAATCGCTGTTGTATCGGTAAAGGTATTTCCAGTACGGCAGTATATCAGGAATTCTCTCAATGTCCTTCGACCTGTAAAAAGCCATGAATTTTTCTTGTACATCGTGTGAAGGATACAGTGTAATGTGTGTATAAATTTCTATTTTTTTCGCCTAGCGATGCTAGTTTAATTAGCAAGAATTAATTAGACATTAGCTCATTATTTATGAACTATGAAGGATATATCTTGTGGCATTTCATCCCTCAAATCGCTTGAAAGGGAAAAGAGAATGAACATGGGACGCCTTCCTTACGCGAGTCACTGTGTCGCATTACAGGAAGCTAGGTTACTCAAACAGGGATAAATGGCCATTTTCCGAGTAGTCCCGCTAGTGGTAATTAATTTAATTCTAGTATACGGAATCATACTTTCGTAACTACCACATGGCTTTCCGGCACACGTATTGCATAATAATTACACCGGAAAAGACAGAACGTGATATCTGCGCAATCCACGAGCAAACGCCAGAAATGTTCATACTGAATACACATGTAACATGGCAACTATGCGAACACAGCCACACACAGCATTTCGAAACAAGAACAGAATTTCGGCTATGCTAGGCTTAAGAATACTGACATGATCGGGGCAGTACTGCACTGTATTACGTCATCTTCGTACAGCTAGTTGGCTTTGTTGTACGTGCACGGTGCAGCTACGGTGTAGCTGGCACACGTCCATTGAGTGAATTTGCAAATGCAGCGGTGATTCTGGTCTACAGAATCAGTCTTGACGAGTCTTGGTTCTAGCTTGGTTCTAGATTCTGCGCGCATATTCCATCTTGAATCTAGTTCTGAGTATCCGGATGTCAGTGCGACCTTCGTTAGGGAGCTAGAGATAGTTCTTTAGCGGAAGTCGTGTGGATCAGCCAGACCATCGGCTGATCGGGATCCCTGTGTGTTCGTGTGTGTGGTGTTGCGTGTTTGGTCGCGATCGTGTTGTTGGTAATATTAATAAGAGCTTATTAATATTTCCGTGTATCTTCCACAAGTCAGTCCAGATTCTACTCTGCTGACGTGAGTCAGGTTGGTCGTGTATGCAATATTGTGAGTACAAGTACTGCAGAGCATGTCAATACTTCTAATTGCAAGTTCTCATCAAAATTTCTAACGATAGCCGCAACTGATTTTTCAATACTTGTCTGTAGAGTGAAAACGAGATAGTTTATCAACGGCAAACCACAAAAATGTCAGACTGATGCATCTGTAAACCGTCCAAAACGCCTGGTGTCACCCTATTTAAAACATCCGCCGTCTAACTATTCTGCAAGCAACTTTGTAGGACTAAAGTTTTTCCTTAGTTAAAGCACTTCAGAAGATACAGTAATACGAGTATATTACTGATTATAGTACCGTGTCCCTAATTTCATTCAATAAAAAAGAACGCCTTTTGTTGCTTTCAAAAAAGTTGGTAATTTGAAGTCGGATGGTACTACACAAATCATTAACTGCGCATTTTAAATCCAAGTTTGATGGTAATTTATCACAAATCAATGCATTATGATGCAGCCTCATGCAGGTGAGTAGTTCTTTCAACGAAGATGGCTTATTTGTGAAGAATCCACACCGGAAATAACGGATTCTGCTTACATACGGAGAGAAGCGGAACTGCGCAGCATAAGACCTTCCGTGGCCGAAGGTATTCGCGATACCTTCCGTCACTTCTCAGCACCGACAAATTGCGCAGTTATCCACTGACGCTGTGATGAAGCTAATCACGTGATTTCCGTCAGCATGTGAATTCACTAAACGCTAAAGCGTATTGCACCGCTGAGCCCGTTTTGCAAAAGACATCTGACAGTCGGCTCACTCGGCTGTATATAATTCTTTCTGTCACCGAAGATTTTGAGTAAAGCGTAGTTTGCAGTGCAGTATGCATGTACTGCTTTTAACGCATTTGTACAGATACGAGTATGTTCCACATTCCACACAGATATGTCCCACCAAATGAGCAATCTGTCTCCGTGTCATCGTTTACCATAATTACTCACATGTTATATAACGAAATATCAATCAGTGAAGTAGCAATCGACCTTGAGATTATCATTGTTGGGGAACCGTGCAAAAGTTCAACTTTTCAATATGGGAAGGTGCGCTATGAAAGCGGATTTCTTCTGCGCTAGTTTAATCATCCGCTCGACAAATGCAATCATGCAAAGTATGTTTTGTGTCGTCCGATGCCGTACGCTGGGACGCATAGCGTGACACGCTGATAGAGTCAACAGTGACCCGCAATACGTCTAAAGCATAACAGACGGTACTGGGAATGCTGCGCCTATGTTACCACACGACTGCGAACATTTAGGAATTTGCCCATTGTGACAACGACAATGTGCATCTCTTGTACACAGTCTTTTCAAATTTGTAAATATTGTACGTCACTTTACTTTTCAAGATCCTCGGAAAGTTAAGCTTACCGTCATGCTGTGCTTGTGGTAAGCTGAAACGCAGGATGTCGGAACAATGTTCTGTGACTGGTCATTTAGAATTCATTCCGAATCTTACTTGTTAATTTTACTTGTTCTATCATTTTCTTATGTTTGTAAATTTTCGTCTGTTATGGAGCACAGCTACAGGAAGACGCAATATATCAAGATGTTGCTCGTCTCGATTTTCTACTAAGTAGGAATGCTCCCAGGATAACGATTTGATCACTGGCAGTATAATCACAATCTACGTATCGCAAAGTCCGGAAGAGCGCTCTT